ACAGGACTTTAATATCACCAACCATTCCCATTTTATTACGGTGTATCTATATAAATGGCCCACCCTGTAGATCAAAAAGGTACACTCCTGAGATTTTATTAAGGAATTTTAACCAGGTCTTTCTTTTTTCTTATTGACAACTGGTGGAGGCTTTCTGTGGTCTCTCAGGGTATCACACAGGAAATATAAATGCCAAATTGCCAAGACAAACTTTCCTCAGAGAGGACCATGCAAACACTGAAAGAAAAACATCCACTATGAGAAATACACACAGTATAACATTAGAACACATACACTCAGTAACAATCTTGATCAGCAAATTAAATGCAAAAACTAGAAAAAGAAAAAACTAGTGTCACCCAGGTAAGGAAATCCCAAAAAGTTGATTCTGTTCATCTGGACATAGCGCTTTCAGTGGGAGAAAAGTTTCATCACTCATCCAAGTGACTTCTTCAGTTTCAGCTGACTGCAGGTTTCCCCACCCTTATAAACAGTACTTCTGCACAATGACTGAAATTAGCATCACTTGCGAATAATAATTTTAGGGAACATCAGTTTTTCAAAAAGAAATTACTGCAGCAGGTAATTTCTTGTGAGAAGTACAAGAAAAATATTTATTTATTCAAAGAAAATTAATCTTGGTTAGTGTATTATTATCACAACAAACATGATTACTAAAATGTTCTAAAAGAGAATGGAAAATTTCCTGGAAGCTGACCACACAGGTTAAATCATGCTGTGATATATTATTAAGCCCTTCAGCAGATATTAGATGGTCTTCTACTGACAGGTGATTACTTTTAAAAAGTCAAGTAATTATTACGGTGCCAATCACAAGTTATTTAAACCTAAACCTATTTTCGATTCTCTGCTGTCCCAGATTTTACAACATGACAGAAGCAGAAAATCCTTAAATTGCATCCACAATCAAAGTTGATTTTACCGAGACTGAACTGTTTTCTATGGAAGACAATTCTGGAAATATACTAATTTTATAAGTTAAAAAAACCAAACAAAAATAAAACAGAAACCCCCCCAATATGTGTCAGTTTCTCAGTTTAATTTCCTGATAAACTGGGCTGGACATATTTCTCTATTAACTATGTCCAACACCAATAACTTGCTAGTCAGGACCGTGTAGCGCACCTATATAAAATAGCAAAAGCTTCAAGGACAATCCTAAAGTGAACCCTTTATGTTTTGAAGACAAACACATGAGATTACTCACCCCTTTCTGAAGGCGTTTCCGAAGTAAATCCGACCCTCCGGGTTTATTTCCCAAATTTGGATATCTTGCTTTCAGTTTAGCCTCTTCTGCCTTCTCGGGGCTGATCGTCTTTTCCTGAACCTCCTGTAAACAAACAGAAGCATAAGATTAGATTAATCAGCTCTCGGTCAGCTGGTAGCTCCAGACAGCACCACACTTACACAGACGTTTAAGCCCGTGAAACTATGAATAAAACCTATCTAATGACGTTTGAAGGCTGCTTATTGAACAACTTTACTGAATACGTTAGTGGCAAAGGGTGGTCCCCCATGGAAAAGCGTTTAAATTCACCGCTCCCGCTAGACAAGCTAGAGAGAAGCATTAGCATATCCTACTAGCTAGTAATGTGTAGGTTGGACCACCGGTTGGGATTCTCGTTTCTGTTTAAAAAAAAAATCACGCTATCAATAGCCAGGCTGGCAAGACAGTTAATTAGACAGGCCCTGATTTAGCACTTCTAGTTTAAAGAGAACTGTCACTGTGCTGAATGAGCTAAGCTAATTTTTTTTAGCAGCTAAGCTAATAGACGCGTTGAATGTCACGTCAGCTAACGTCAAAACACTTCCAGCTGAAAGACAAAGCGCGAATTACTACGTAATAGAAGATCGTTAGGATACCCGACGAACAATATTAAGCTGGGTCTCGGTAGCTAGTTGTGATTTATATGTCAACAACGAAATAGAGGAAGAGGAGAAGCTAAGCTACAGTGTTAGGTTACCACGAAGCAACCGTCCCCGGGGCTCGTGAGGAAAAGCCCGCGTTTACCTTCTCTTCCACCGGCGTCTCCTCAGCTGTCTGAGTCTCTTCGTTATCCCCCGACATGTTTAAACAGTTGTGATTTTTGTCAGGAGACCGCTCACCAGCCGAACAAGTGTTCCACAAATCCCCCGCTCGCGTGTTGCTCGCCCGATTCGACTCTGACTTACCGAACCCAACCGAGAGCTGCCGAGCGCTCACTCCCGCACACAATACTACGTCACATGCGGAGACACCACGCGCGCTCCCGCCATGCACACGCACCGGGTACGGAGTTCAGATTTAGGTTGCATAATGACACAAAGATCAGCTGCTGGGTCCATGTGCTGTGTCACAAATCCAGATCTCAGAAAATAATCCGCAGATCTGGAGGATGGAGAGCTCGGCACCGCTTAATGCTGGCCGATTTATTTTCCGTTTCCTCACTACATCTCATTGCACAAAACCAAGAGGAATACAGCTATACAAAATAAAGTGTTTTCTTTTTATACCCACCCCCAGAGTAATTTGTTTTTCCTTCTGATTTAAAAAAAAAAAAAAAAGAGCCAAATATGAGCACGTGCAGCGTAAACGAATAATGTTTCAGAATCCATTTGTCATTTTTTAGAAATGTATTGACATGTTTAATGAACCAGTTTGAAATGATTTGAGCTTTTGTGACATGATGCGTTATGCTGCTGGAAGCCGCCATTAGAATATGAGTACAATGGCCATAAAGGGATGACACAATCAGCAGCAATCAACACGTTGGATGTGGGATTTAGCTCAGATCATGCTAAGGGCCCCCACAGTGTGCCAAGAAACAAGTTTAAACTAGTCTACTTGAACAAGTGTACTTGCATTACTTCTTAAACCCTTTTACTTAAAATCAATGATATTCACACTACCCCTTCAAAAGGATCTTATTGTATCAAAAGTAAAACTTTTCTAGTCATCTCCAATCATTGTATTGACAACAAAGAGGATCCTTCAAGCTGTAAACGACCAGTCATTTAATCTTTGTTATGATACCTCAGATTCCAGAAATCTATCATTTTAAAGGCAAAATACCTGGAAATACCTTGCATGGTGGATCCGGTGGTTATGTAAGCTGGAAGTCATGTCAAGTCATTCTTTCAACAAGTTAATTAAAAGAATTTGGTGCAATCCATTTATTATTTGGCTCTATATCTATATAGATATCTATATATGTCCCTATAAGCTGCACGCACGCAGCTTATAGGCAACATTGCTCTTAACATCAAGTTTTCACAGATGCCATTCACAATTTCCTTTCCTCTTTCTCAGACACACACTGAAGGACAACAGACCACAGGCCTAGACCCTGACAGTGCCCAACAGGTGTGTGTCAGATACAATACAAGCCCCCAGTTTCTTAATAAAAAATATGAAAAATTATGTAATTTTCTAAATAAAGTCCTTCAATATAGGAAACTATTCAATTGGTTTGATTTTCAAAATAAAAGCCCTGGAAACAGTATAAAAGTTAATCAGGATTCTCTAAAATTTAACTTTTTCAGAAAAGAAAAAGTTAGTTTTCATCAGAAATGTACGATTTTCAAAAACATCGCAGTTATTTATTTTATAAATTTGGTTAAGTTTAGCCTATTCTCAGTTTTACAAATTGAGAGACTGATAAAAAAACAAAAACTGAAATATCTGAAATGCATTTGGGGTGTATGGTAACAAAGACTCACTGTTTTGAACCGGAGAAAAACAAAACGAAACAAATTTCTGTAATTACATAAAGCAATTTAACTTGTGTTTAAACTTTCACTTACACCTCAGATATACCATTTTTACTCTCATTGTGATTAAAATGGTTCATGTGCATATACTTTTACTGATTACAGCCTAATATACAAGGAATGCTTGTGACTCATCCCAAAGAGTGCGCTATGCTGTCTGTGTTTGAAAAACATCAACAATGTACTAAAAACAAGGGCTGTCAGTAACAGATCTCAACACATGTATTTATAGTGTTGTTTTGCACCAGGATGAGTCAGTGACTACTGGCCAATGTTTAAAAAAAAAAAAAAAATGTGTGGGGGTGTGACAGCTGAAAATCAGCTATCACACCCCACACATCATTCTTGCCATTCCCACATTCTCTTATGCACCTTTTATCTTGCATTTAGCAGAAAACCAGTTACTGTTTGCACATAAAGACGGAGGTGAGCATCAAGACACATCAAAAGGCAGAACAGGAAACATGGTGTGAGAATTAAAACCACAAAGAGACACAGCAGATTCCAAATTGCTTTAGAAGATATATAGATATATTTTTTCAGATTTGAATATTAATGTCAAAAATACATACTATGATATACAGTTTGCACTACATCATCTTAGCATGGCAGACGTCACAAGTAATAACTGAAATATTTAAATATTAAATAAACTGATGGTAAGTAAACTGAAAGTGAATGTGTAAACACTAAACTAAGGTTATTCTTTCTATTGCAACACTTCCAATAAAGTGGTTTTGTAACAGTACAAAAGTATTAGAATATTTCTATTTTCTGTTTCATTTCCAGTTACATTGAGAAAAAAAAATCCACAGTGCACTTCTGATGTTCTGCTGTGATGCTTTCACGTAAGTCTATCTTGATTGCTCGTTCGACTGGTTTTTTTTTTTGTTGTTGCTGTTTTTTTATTTTATTTTCAGTGGTCCATGGTATATGTTGCATCGCAGTTTGCCATAGGGTTCTTCATCTATATGCACAACCTCTGCTCCGAGCTCAGGAATCACAGAGAGAAAACTGAGTACACGTTCAGCTGGGTCAATCTAATCTTCAAAAATTTAAAATCGGAATCGTTTATTATTAAAAGGCCATCACATTCAATTAGAAACAAATTATTTCTTATTTCACACTCAATAGGTCCAATTAACATTTCGATTTAACGCCTCGACTCTTTTCAAATAAATTTTTTGTCTAACTTTATGTGTGTCTACTCTCCTGCAAGACGCTGGAGGGGATACACACAATAGAAGGTAAGCATGTTACCCATGAAATCTGTTAAACACATATTGACCAGGAGTACAACATTAGAAATACATCCTAAAACCGAAACTTTTGACTCAGCCACTCTGGTCCAAAGCTGTAAGCTTAACAGAGAACAAGCTTTTATTTCTGATGAGTCTCCTAGGATCTCAGCTTGCTGCCCCCTTTGCCAGTTTTGGATGACAGGGGATGAAACATAAGTTTGTGGAGACAGACCATGAGAGGCTTTTGTCTCTGGTCCTTAAACCTCGTCTCTTTTCAAATGGACTAACGGTCTGAGTCTGTCGCTGGCATCAAGTTGTGACTAATGTTTCAGTAGTGGCCTGCCGGGTGGAGGAGGGAGGGCTTCAGGCCTCAGCAGCGGGAAGAGTACGACGGGTCAACAGGGGACTCTGTGAAGGACTGGAGCTCGTAGGCAGCACCGCTGTCCACCTCCATGGACTTCCTGGAAAACAGCAGACGGATGTCCCTATGGAGGTAGATCTTCCCAGACTTAGAGCTCTGGAACCTGGTAGAGGTTGGGAGAGGGAGAAAAGCATGAAATGACAGGCCAAAAGCATGAAAATGGGAGTATAAACATGGGTGCTGCTGGATATGCTCCACTTTGAGTGTTCAGACAAAAATAACAGCCATCTCACCTCAGGTGAATGAGGTAGCGCAAGGTTCGTCCCTGGCCCAGGGCGAGGGGTTTCCTGCTGGTCTGATTGTTTGCGTCACGACGGACGGGAACAGAGAAGGTCCTCTGGCGTAAGAAGGTCTGGTGTCCAGCTGGCATGGCTCGTAGGTCGTACATCACAACAAACATCTTTACCACTGTCTTGTTAGGGTTGAATAAGGTCTGAGGGGTTTAACCGGAGAGCATTGCAGGGTTAAAACCATTTTAAAGTCAGGCTTTGTAATAAATTTTAACACAGTCTTTCATTTAACTATAGCAAATATGTTTTTACACTTTACATGCTGTGATCAAGATACATAATATGACTATTCCTCTATACCTACAATCCCAACAATGTAATCCGAGTATTAAGGAGATAAGAGCTTTCTGCACTATAAATGAAACAAAACATAGCCTTGAACAGGTCCCTGTATGTTTAATGATGCAGTTTCCTCTACATCCACAAGGAGTCTCCATTCACTTTTGTTACTTCCTGTAATCTGCTCTTTGTTCTCAGCCACGCTGTGATGTAGCTATATTTTGAAAACATGTCTACTGTCAACTGTGAAAGAAAATCCTCACCACTTGAATGGTTCCTGATGGAGGTACACGATAGCCCCTTTTTCCCAGGGACTCCAGGTTTATCACACCCTGCCAGAAAACACATGGCAATCAAAAACAGGCAAACAGAAGTAACACACATGAGCTGATATGGTTTTATCTCTAGGCTTAGGGGGCTTTATTATTACTTTATAGAAAAAGAAATTTTACCATATATGGTGAGGGAGCGTTGTCATCAGAGACACTATAGAATGACACATCTGCAGGTAAGGTAAGGTGACTGGGGCAGAAGGATCCGCTGGCGCCGACCTCTGCTGTGAAACCCTCCACTGTCCCTAAAGGCTCCAGGCGGTAGTTCAGCACACACTCCTAATGGGACATAAGTTCAGCTTTAAAAATGTCACTCTTACTTTTCTACAGGTTGACACAGTTTTGGTTTTCACTTGAAAGTTTTAAAATCAGGACTTGTTAGACCATGTTTCACAGCTATGTTTTCATTTTTCTTTAAAAAAAAAAAAGAAGTACAACCTGCAGTATGGTGGTTGCTCAAGGTTAAATCCCATTGAGAATGTGACAGTTTAGGGATCCAAAAAGGAGAATCGGACTTGAGCTAATGTCAAAAACAATAGCTGAAGAGAACAGATGATTCTGTGTTTGTGTGCTATACCTCAAAGTTTCCCAGCAGGCTGAGACTGGCAGGTGGAGCACTAGCACTGAACAGCTGCTGTGACTCATCAGTGTACCCCTCTCTCTTTAGACACACCCTGTAGTAAAAAAACACATGCTGGATCAACACGTTTTTAAATGTGTTATGTAAATGCCTAAAGGTATTTACATGGCACACATTTCTAGTGTGCCTTAATAGATATGCATCTCAGGTGAGCTAAAATGATCTCAAACCGGCTTCCATCTGTGTATAAACACGAGTGGCAACTTGAAATGTTGGTTACTCTGAAATCCTAATTCATTTGAAGTGCAAATAAAGTGTTCAGGCCCACAGGTCACAACATAGAAACTTTACATACGACTCTTTCAATCAACCATATGTTTTTGGCGAAATATAAACAAATAATATCATATAGTGCCTTTTACCAACCAGAGCAAAACTTCTCTTTTAAACAGCTAAAATGACCTTTCACCCCTGAATACCAAACTCTTCAAACATCTGCTGTACAAAAAAGTAGCACTGAGCTTCCACCCACATTTGCTGTGTGTAGGCAGAGCCATGAATCTCTGTGTATATAAAGCCAGTTCAGTGCTGTCTGCCATTTTGAGCTGCGTGTGTGCATTTCTAGATGCAGTCACAGTACAGCAGAGCTTCAGCAGGTGGCACTGTGAGAGGGTAAGTCAGCAGAACGGGGCTGACCCAGCTTTAGCCCGCTGTGAAGCTGCTATGGTCTCATCTTTTCTCACACAGCCTGATTTATGCAACTGTTTATCTGAGGCTTTTGTATCCAAGGGTTCGGGTGTGATTAGGATCTGAATTTTCTGTACTTTACAATATAAGCTGTATAATAAACAAAATACCTCTATCTTCAAGTTTTTCTCGATATTTGTTACATATAATAAAAGCTGTGAGCCTGGAAAGTGAGCGAAACATGTAGGTTTTAAAAATCATGATGAAAAGTATGAGTAACTAGATCCAGATGGTACTGTAATCATCAGATAATGTGGGAGGTAACTGTAAGACAAAAGACTGCATTGTAACTAGTCAAAGTGCCCAAAACTTAGTTTCTTGTACAAAATGAGTTGGAAACTAGTAACTATAGTAACACAGATCCCAGGTGAGAAAATGTATACCTTTTCCCAGAGGCCCAAGGCAAACCCTTACAGCCAGCCACAGAGGTGTCCAGGTCAAAGTATCCTGTTTGACTTTTCCTCTGAGGAACCTGTAGCAGACACACAGGACACCATCAACACATATTTTTATTTATTTATATTTTTATAGAGAGAGTGTCATGACCTGCATGTGTCAGCTTGCTGCTGGTGAGACTTAAGTGTGTGTGTGTGTGTGTGTTTACAGTATGTGTAAAAGTGATCAGAAGAAACTGTGATGATGAAACTTGTGACTGGTGAGATGCTGATGAGTCATTTAGCTTACGTATCGCCACGTGTGCACATCAACGCTGAAAAACTACTCAGTAGCCCAGCAGCCCAAAAAAAAGCTATCCTAATCATCAACATTTAAAGTACTGTAGTATATTCATTGGTGAAGCACTGTGAGTAATGCTTCAACAAGAGGTGGTGAGCATGGTGTTATGACAAAGACTTGCATGGACTCTGACAGTGACTATTAAAGCATAGCTAAAACATTAGGTAAGCCTGCATCTGACTCAAGTGTCTTTTCCGCAGATGTTCAATTTTGAAGCTGAGAACTGTTTCAGTTAGAAGACATGAAGCTACTGTACATGAATGTGTGTGTGCTTGTGTGTTACTTACAGGGCTGGAGAGCAGAGGCAGGCCAGTGCAGGGGTGGAAGGCCTTGGTTGCTGTAGCGTCTAATGAGTGGCGATTCTGTTTCTTCCAGCTGTTGCAGGGACGCAGAGGGGAGGGACTCTGAGTACGCTGGGAGTATAGAGAGAATACATTAAAACAGCTTGCAAGTGGACAAGTGAACTTACATCATCTTCCTACCCCAGCTGAACTTAGAATAAAGCATGTTACTCTGTTACCTTTTTTTTGTCTTACATATAAAACTGTGATTAGCACAGGTGTGATACATTATTGATGACTAAAAAGGGTATCACATATACTGGACAATGCTCATTAGAGAAAGAATTGTCTTACGAGAACAGTAGAAGGTGGAGTCATATCTAGACTTGATGTGCTGGAGCATCCAGAATCTGAGGGTGCCTGGTTCTCATCCTGGAGGGTCGAGGCCTGGGCAGGTTTGCAGTTTTGCATCTGCATTTGCATCTGGGATTGAGCTTGAGGCTTGCTGTGGTCGTGGCTTCTGTTACAGTTCATGTTTGGGCTGGCGTAGTCGCAAGTCCAGTTCGAAATCTGGGCTTGCCAGGAGCGGTTTTCAATGAGGGGGGAGGCAGGGGGGGATTCATGGCTGCTGGGTGTCCTGACTCTGAGCTTTTCCTTTGGAGGAGTTCGTAAACGCTGACCAGCCTGTGCATGGGACTGGCCTCTGAATGAGGGTTCTTCAAGTGTAGACTGAGCACCATTTTGGGCCCGGGGAGAATGGCATTCGGAACCCCGATCAACTCGGGGCTTGTCTGTGCAAACAGGCGTGTGTGTGGCAGCGGTGTGCGTGCTGCCTCTGTGAGGTTCGTGGCTAGGTATGTGGCCGTTGGTGTAGCCGTTGGTGGCAGTGTGTGGGGCATGTGGGATGTGTGTGGTGTGCGAGTATGTGCGGACTGTGTGTGTCACTGTTGTTGTGTGAGTATGGTGCAGAGGGCTGCCGCTTCTGCTGTGCCGGGGGGACAGAGAGGGGACAGACAGTCTCTCCTGGATGAGCCTAGTAATGTCTTGAACTGCTTGGGCAATCAGAGAGCTGTCTGTATCCCTCTCCCTGTCTTTCTCCTTCTCTCTGTCTGACTCCTTCTCCCCGTTCCTCTCCTCTTCTCTGTCTCTTGTCTCAGTCATTTTTAGCCTCCTGCAGGCTGCAGGTTTAGGGGAGGAGCTTTCCCATTTCCCGAAAGAAGTGTCAGTCACAGGTGTGTTAAACGGGGTGGGCCACACATGTCCCACAGACTCGTAGGGCGGTACCTCAAGCTCTTTGGTCTTACTGGCAGTTATATCATCATGGTTACTGCCCCACATGGCTTTGGGAGGGTTGTCAGAAGCAAAAAGGCCGGGAGGGAGTGGGGGTGCTGTGGGGTCACAAAAGTTGAGCCTCTGTGCAATACGGGCAATAACTTCCTGTCTCTCCTGCAGCAGGGAACCAATCAGTGGGTTTGTCTCAGGTGCAGCAGGCCTCGGGGAGGGGCAGCGGGGTGGCTCGGCCATGGAAAAATTCTTAAAAGCTCTCAGAGGCTCGGGGAGTGCACTCTTTGACCTCTCGTTGTTGTTGCTGGTACAAGAACCATAGTCTTCTACCTGTGTGGGTTCAGATGAACCATTGAGAGCTGAGTACAGCCACTTCCCTGCTTTACTTGTAGGAAGTGGGGAGGGGGAGTGGGAGCGGGATGGCGTGGGGGAGTGAGAGGGCCTGTGGAAGAGTGGGGAGCCCTGACGTTGGGGGGCATTGCCCTGTGGGAGCTCTCCGTTCTGATACGAGTGATTTTCACCAGGCTCTTGGCTCTTCTTGCTGTATGGATGTGGCACAGATGTGTGAGGAAGGCTGTTAATGGGGATGTTGTTGATGGGGAGATTGGGAATGGGTAAACCATTGAGGAGAAGGCTGGACATTGAGTTGGAGCTCTTGCTGTACGTATTAGAGTTGTTGAGGAGGTTGTCCTTACTGGGGTCCTGGTTCTTTTTGAGGGTGGGCAGGCCACCATGGCTGTTAAGGTTTGGGTTGAGGCTGGGAGTCTTACTGTAAAGCGGAGGAAGGCCGGTATGGATGCTGCAGGCTAGGGTGGGATAGGTGGGCTGTCTGGGGAGCGACTGGACACGGACCTGCAGTGCAACACTCTGGGAAACATTGGGGACTGGGAATATGTGCTCTGAAGGTGGTTGGGAAAACTGCCACACCAACTCTTCATCAGCAGCACTGATCCTATTGGATGGAAAAATCCTGATTCAATAAACAGGGTCCCGTTAACTGTTAAGTTTAAAAGAACGTTCTGGGCTGTAATAACATTTTAGCTATGCACACAAACATTACACATGTGTATATAAATGTGCAACTAACATAACTTTCGCTTTAGTGTGGAACTAGCACTAGTGTGGAAGCTTGACTGAACAGTCTTCAGCTCATCACTGTTAAAGTCTTCAGTGAGTGTTACATCTGACCTGTACAGGATGTTTCTGGGGACGATGCCATGTGAGGCGCTGAGCCAGGCGCTGAGCTGGGAGAAGAAGACGTAAGAACGAACAGCCAACAGCAGGGTCTTCTCTTCAATGAAACGGTCGCCGCTTCTAGAAAAAAAAGAGAAAAAAAAATGGTGGAAGTGTGCCAGTATGTCGGGTTAATGAGAAAACAATATGTATTTTTTTAATCTTTCACAGTGTTCCTTGTTCCTACACATGTGAGAAGGAAAGTAGGCCAATATGTCAGACTAATTAACTCCCTGAGTACCGCACCAATTATATATATTTTTTATTATTCATTTTTTGACCATTGTTTTATTTTCTAGTTCATTTAAAGCTTTTAACTGTGCTTTGTTTTTCTGTCCTTTTGAGTTTTTTTTTTTGTTTTTTAACTAAAGATTTTTCTAATTTTTGTTGTTGTTGGTGAAGGTTTTCCTTGTCCCCCAAATATAAAATCAAATGCAGTTTTTATGCAGCAGTTTTGTAAAACACATGATGTCATACTAAGACGACTGTTATGCCCCATGTTTGGTCCATGTGCAACAAGTCTGCTGGTAAACAAGCACATGTTAATTATACTTAGAGACCCAACATACCATGTACATCCTTTCAAGTTTAGCAGCTGCAGTGACCCTTACAGACGTGTTATAAGTTTCTGCATCTGTGAGTATGCTGTTGTCCATTTGGCTCAGAGTGATGTCAGTTTTATCATCAGACTGTGAGCGTGAGGCTCTGTCCAGTCAAGTTAAAAAAACGTTTGTAGCAAGATTATTGATATCATTTCCCTATCATTAAGGCATGAATGGCTCTGACAGTAATAACAATTTTGTATTCCATAAATCAAGTGCTTTTTCAGCTAGTCTCAACAAGATCAAACAGGGCTGAGAGCCAGTAAACAAGTTATGTTTGTGTTGTTTTTCTTCTTTGAAAAATCTGACTATTCTAGTAGCCTGAGCAAATAGTGTCTTGAACACTGTCAAATCTATTTTTTTTTTAGAAAAACCTGCCTGCACAACAAGTTCTTTGTGCTTAAGATGATTCTTCATCAGCAAAACTGAACATTAAAGTAAGCAGAGAGATAATGCTTCTTGTATAGTAAAAGAGGACAGTGTACGTTACGAAAAATAACAAAATAGACATTTACTTGCATTCCCCATCTTTAAAATGGTGTGTGTGTGTGTGTGTGTGTGTGTGTCATACTGTCTAGGAACAGCCTGCAAGGTCCATCTCTCCAACAGCAGAGCATCTTGTTTGATGACCGGGTCACTGATGAGATCACTTGGGGGGCACTCATCGCCATAGCAACAGTCTGGAAGGAGCATGACCTCGATCATAATGGGTATGTTGTTCCTCCAAAGTAGGATCACCTCAGAACGGGTACGCCTCGCCTGCCGACACTAGGCACACACACACACACACATCCGTGGACAAAGGTGAGCGGTTAGTGTTCATTAGTGAATGTCAACGCCAAAGTTAGGGGCACAGCAGGTAGAGAGTAAATATTGCTATTAACCTCTGAGTTAAAAAAAAGAAGATATTTTTATCCTGCACGGCAGTCCAGTGACAGAGGGATATACTGTAGACTCAATTTATTAGCTAACAGCCTAACACAGCGGTTCGTTACAAAGTTACAACTCTGTTGCCAAAGTAGAAATAAAAATTTATTACAGAGCTTCATTATCTTTACTAATGCATCAGTACAGTGTGTATACCATCAAATCAGAGCAGCTTAGGTACCACTCACTGAAACATCCTGTTAACATGTTACACTTCATTCTGAATATTTAATTTTTTATGATAGCAGTTTTCTTTTGCTTTTATTGCACGAGGGCTGTTACCTAGTCTTACGTAATACGTTACTTTTCAACTGTCAGGAGTTAACAACATACAACAACAACTGAATGTGTTTAAATATTGTTTTGGTTTTTATAAATGCACAACTAAAAGAATAAATTCAGCTGACAGTTAATTCTTAACAGGTCACCTGTTATGCTTTGAAATTATGTGTATATCTTTTTATTGTTGGTGTTTTTGAATGAAGTCAACATACCGCATTGTTTACATTATTGGGTGCTCCTCTGTCATTGAGCTTAAACCCACAACACTGCAAAAAACATTATTATTTATTTATGTTTTAAACACAACTTTTGAGACAGCAGACTCAGTTCCCGCACATCTCCACTTTCCAATTTATCTTTGTTTATTTGTCTGTCTTGGGTTATTATGTTGAGAGGTTAAAACTATAAGATTAATGCGCAACTAATGGATACGACAATCTATACCTGAAGCGCTCAAAACGTCAGCTGTGGATTGGTATGACAAAATTTAAAAGGAATTCAGGGCAGTACACCAGATAAACTGGATGAACTAGTATACCGCCCAGCCTCAGGAAAGTCAACTTTTAGTTTACATAACAAAGACTGCATGAGTAACTGTGTACATTGACATTGCTTAAAGCAAGGAAAAATTCTGTGCCTGAAGGGGGACTGGAAGGTCATCCCACAGAAGGTTATCAGCGTTTTGTGCCTTTTACACCTCAATTCCTGATAAAATGTTTACTAAAGTGATGGATGGTGCAGGTTGTTAAAATTGAGGTGGATCTATCATTTGGCTACACGTAACATGGAGATTGGCTCTGTATCAACCTGTTAACCATTTCAGAAAGACAAGAACGCAATATAATTGTATTAAATGTGATCCCCCCTATGTTTACATGTCAGGTTGATCCAAACTGCAGATAAGTGCATGAAGTCACACTCTACTCACTCAGAAACATTAAATTATAATGTATATTTTTAGACCTTTAAAAAAAAAAAAAAAAAAAAAAAAATTATATATATATACACACACACACATACATACATACATATATATATATACATATATACATATACATACACACACACACACACACACACATATATATATACACACACACACACTTTTAACACAGATTTTCTAACTGGAATTTTATATTGTAGGTCAAGCTTTTTAACCAGTTGTTTAAAGCAACGCTCTTCGACCGTGTAACCACAGCACTAATTTCCATCCACCCTTTGCATTTCCGGTCAGATGGACTCTAACTGCCGTGTGCTGCAGCTCTCAGTAGAGTCACTTGTTTACATTTGGGTAGCATATCACCAGTTGTACTTAATGGTTTGTTGTTTCCACGCTTAGTGGGAACAGTTTTCTTGTACATTTTGCAAAGCATTGCGGTTGGTTGAAGTAGTTCTCTTTTTAGGTACTAAATCATCATCTGAGGGTGACGCACAGCTCTCAGACATGCCCGTGCTTGTTTGATAATTCTGTCCATAGCATGACTATAGTAATAATATCTCCACATGGAATTTTTAATCATGTAAAAATCTGTAGCGCTATCAGTGCAGGTGATATGACATGAAACAGCCCTCGAGGCCACGTAACTACCACTAACTGCTGACCCACAGCGAACCAAATTAGGCCTATTTTACGAATACAAAACATAGGGCTCCTTTCAATATGTACATGCAGCCATATTCTTAATGTGGAACAGTTTAAAAAACACAAGCCTTTAAATGTAGGGTACAGTACCAGATAACTTTATGCCTTGCCTGGATGTATGAAATAAATCTTACCTGGGGTAGTTTGTCGCTGCATTCATGCTTGTGAAGAGGAGGCATGGCTGACTGGGCTGGCGGACAATGTAGCCCCTCAGTCCTGCCTTTCACAGAATACTCTGGTGTCCTTCCCTCTGTGATGAGTAAGGTCAGGAACACCAGGAACTCCTCCGCATCGTACTCAAAAAACTCCTCTGTTGCATCTGGACAAGACAAAGAAACAAAGGGTCAGCAGTAGCTATATGACCAGTGCACATTCAAACAAACAAATAATAATAATTTAAAAAAAAAAGGGGGGGGGGGGGAATCAGCTGGAAAAAAGTATCAATTAAAAAAAACAAAAACAAAATTTAATGTACCCACGGCAGAAAGCCACCTGTTCTGCCTGTTCAGTGTTGCATGCTTGAAAATGGCCATTTAACTTGGGCTGGAAAGACTTGCTTAGAGAAGGGGTGTGGGGCAATGCAGTGAATGACACAAGTTTTCCAGTTTGGCCACTTCAAAGGAATATATTTAGATCATCCATGTCAGCTGAGTTGTTGGGTGAAGCCACACTGATTGTTTCTTCTCTATGTGGCGTGCACATAAACATCAGCCGCACTGACGATGACATCATTAATATTCATTGGAAAAACATTTGCAAACAAAAGATCAACCTGTTACACGAGGAAATCACTCAAGAGAAATCATAGTGCATGCTCCACCAGTTTGGCCAGGGGCTGTGGGTGGGGCTGGCACGAGAGAGCAGGACCTTTAACGGCGCTATTCCCCTCTGACTAACAGCTATACAAGAGCACAAAGGAGAACTAGATGTCACAGTAAAATTACAGCTTATGCTAAGTATTTGATTTCATTAAATGTATTTGATTCTCAACTACAAAAAGGTGCAGCTGGGTCAGTAAGATGATAGTCAACTAGCTCGCGTGTCTCCTGCCACAACAAAATTAAACAAATCCTGCTGTTTGTGTTATAAATGAGCTTAGACCTTAAGGAGGGTATTTTTAGCAAACAGCTGAAGAGCCTGTCTTAGTTCTCCATCTCCTGCTCTTCTCCAGAGAAAACTCCCAGAATCCCGCAGGAGGTCAGCTGATGCACAGCAGCACAAAGAATCACAGCTTTCTTTCTTCTGACGCACAGGAGTTGCCTGTACATATAACCTCTGCAGGTCTAAATAAGTGAGCCAGCAGCAAACCAAACTCAAGTCAAATTTAGGTGAAAACACTGCTCTCACTCTCTCTCTCTTCTTTGAAACTATGACTGTGCTGGTCCTCACAAGAACACAAGTACAGAAGCACATAAACACACCCTGTCCTCCTCCCACCACAGTGGGGCTGGGTAGAATAGAGTCCCTCTCAGCTGGCTATGCAGAAGTGTGAGCTATGAGCTGCTGCTGTATATATGTGTGAGTGCATGCATATCATAGCCAGCCAGTCGCACACATTCCACTCAGGGAACTCCTCCTACATGCCTTTGAGCTGGTGCTGCACGTGGAGAGAGACGCAGTCCAATACAAAACATGAGGAGGGAGGGAGGGGAAGAGGGGGTCTGTTAGCCAGCTGTAGGCTGAATAAAAGCAGGGTAAAGGAGATGGAGAGGGAGGCTATATTCACAGACAATCTCCTTTTCTTTATGGGCTGAATCAGAACTGTGTGAACAAAGGGAGTAGGAGACCAACAGTGAGCTAGAACAAGAGAGAAGAGACAGGAGCAATGGGGTAATGTATGACAAAGGTCAGCATTCAAGGACACCGTCTCTCGTATTTACATGAGGGCTGGTTGCACACACTGGGTATGGTGGGTTCTGGCTGGCTGATTTCCAACCAAGGTTTGATGTTCCCAGTTGGTCAAAGAGGCTCCTGGTACTACTGGGATCTGGGCTAAAGGTGACACTCGGGAATAAAATGAAGCATGGGCTGATGAATTGGCGTGGGGGGGGGAGACAGCGCTTAAGTGAGCAGAGGGAAAAAACAGCCTCTGAGAAATGGTTGCTAACCCCCAAAAGCAGACACACACACACACACACACACACAGCTCCCAATTCATATGTGCACAGTGGGTGTCAGATTACTTCGCTCTGGGGAAAGCTAGACTCGGGAACACATACACCCCTAAAGCACATATTGCAAAAACACACATGAACGCTAACAAACAAGGACAACATGACACACAACATGCACACAAAGGACCAGTGGTGGAGGCTCTGGTTAAGGGGCCCAGGCTCTGTATGTGTAGATGAGAGCTGTCATTCATTAAAGGACTGCGCCTGAATAGAGCATTCCTATGAAGCCTACACACACACACACACACACACACACACACACAAAGAGACACAACTCGAATCAAAGTTAGGAGGTAATCAAGATACAGAATAAGACAAAAGAGGCTAAGGCGAAGAAAACCTTTGGACAGATGAAGTGTTCAGAAAGAATCCCATTTGTGTCCGATTTCTGCTACTTGAAATGATTAAAAGCAGAACAAAAGTCAGAGTAAGGCATTTTTCTCATCTTGCTGGTACAGATACTGATCCTTCTACATGGGAAAAACTCTCATCCAGAAAGCTCAACTCAATGACTGATGGAAGTAATGCAGTATCTTAAGAAAAATAATTACTTTCAACCCTCTCCTGTTTCTGGAGAAACAGGTTAGTATATTTTCCCTTCTCACATGTAGCATGTGGCAGGAAAAAGTCCTGCTCTCTGCACCGTGAATGTTTTAAAGGCATTCACACTACAGAAAATACACTGTGTGTTTTAAGGGACCAGCACCATTGGGTGGTGACCTGAGACCAAGTTTTCCAGACTTAAGTCTACATGTTGTAGCTGTGTACTGTCAACAATGGGCAGTGTCAAGATTATGTGAAACAGCAGGTCTGTAGTCTACTTCTGCTTGTGATGCGCTGTTGTTGGTCCTTTAGCTTAGCCCCTGCTGTGGAGAAGACCAAATTAGATCTTCATAAACAAGTGAAAACAAGTGTAAAAAAAACAAAAACAAAACCCCCAAACAATGAAAACTGTACAGTGCAGCCTATTTCAGTGCTTTTCACATCTACCTTCTTCGTGTTTAATGGTTTCATAACTCCTTCCTTTTCTTGGGAAACTTGGCTGTCTTTCCCTTTACTTATCAAACCAACTTTTTAAACTATCAGAAATGCCAGACTATGTGCTGGCTTTTTGCACTACAGCACACAAGCATGTCTGTGTAGGTTGTATACTCGAAATCCTACGCAAAAGACATAAATGATGCACAACAGTAGTGTGTGGAAGAGGCTGTGCCCATAATACACAAGAGTTGGCAGGTTAAAGACTGGGCAGTGTCTGATCATTGCATTAATCCAAATTCCATTTATAAAATCTGAATAATTAGTTTGACTGAATAGTATTATTGTTGTGGACAACGAAGGCAGCAGAGCTTCAACATCTAGTTGACTAGCTCTCACACGCACATGTGACCTTTAGAAACCTGAAAACTTCAGGGCTTTTTTTTTCTCCATATATCGTTTTAAGCTAATAAATATATGTTAAAATTATTTCCTAAAGCTAGAGGCATGTAACAATGTTTTAAATCATACCTACAAATAGTTAATGTCACTTTAAAATTTATGTAACAGTTGTTTACTTGTCATTAAGCCTACAAGTTCAACGTTCAATCCTGCCTTTTCCTTCCCCTCATCTTCCGTTTACCCACTGGACCATGACTGATTAATTCCTGCCTCTCCATCTTTTCAAACAGGCAGTTTTGTCTCTTATTAGCTGATATGTTTGTATGCATACACTTTAAATTAATGTTTGTCTGAGATACATTATTCCTTTCTTCCTTCAATTTGTTTTTGGGTCATCTATGTGTGTAAATTATGTTCTTCAGTTTACATTAGACCTCTTAAATTGTTTGAAAGAAGTACCATAAGCAACTACTAACAGTGCTTGAGAAATGCAAACAGAAAACAATTGTGTTTAGGTCCAGTGACACTTCACTGATAAATGCTGCACTAAGCAAACCCAAACAGTAATACATGTACACATGATGGAAAATGTTATTTTCCTCTTTTCCATGTGCATGTGATCTCTCATCTGTCTCCTGATCATGTGTGATGTGAATTATGTAACAGGTCGGATTAAGATTCGGGCGTCTTATTATTAGACCTATGACCGCCTGCCACCAAGAGCAGCCTGAATCCGCCTACAGATCGCCTGGTTCAGCACACACACACATGCACACAATCACATACACACCTCTCAGCTGTGTCCATCTCCTCGAGCCAAAAGATCAGTATAGAGTCATGTGGGATGGAAAAAGGCCTCCAGGACAAGAGCATAGGGGTCATTCTCGATAGCCAACATTGTCGTCACAGTAAAGTGCCTTAGCAACCTGTTCAGTGTGCCTTTTTTTTGTTGCATGTGTTTCAACAGATTCTTACACTTGTTTCTGTCTTTATAAATTATACAATGTAAATGCGTTTAGTCTAGTAGAGCATTTACACTGTGTACCCAGTAGCTGTTTAAAAACACAAACAGATGGCATGAAAGAGGGAGAGAAAGACAGAATGTAAGAGACACACATTTAGATAAGATGACCCATTAATCCGCGCACCATGGCCACACAATCACTGCATAGTTGTGCCTCTTTCTCTGCTCTCTACACATACAAACAATGAACAATTTTTTCTAGAATCCAGTTTTAATGAAATGCCAGAAAAACAGTTCCCACACCAAAGAGGCATCTTCAAAAATCTGATGCACAGAAGCTTGGTTTACTCTCTCTATTTTGCGTTTGTGTTTAAAAGAAAAACAAAAAACCCCAGCAACAACTAACTAAAATATTCACTGCATTACCAAAAGTGAGATGAAGGTAACTGGAGACAAAAGCTGGTGCAAGATCAGTCACAGATCAAAGTTACAGTGGGAATTCAACAATGCAGAGTTCACCTACCTAAAGCTGGGGTACTGATTATCAAGGAAAGGATATATCTCACTCAAAAAAGAGGGGGGATAACATACTGCAGGGCAGCAGCCAGAGCTCACAAAGAGAAAGACAGGTCTGTAGAGATACTGAAGGAGACAGATGACTGAAGGGGAAAGCGGAAACCTACACAGTTAGTTCAAAGGGGAGACAGGAAGTCATTTTAACCATGTTTTCAGTTAACTGTCTGTCAAGTGAATTTCATTCAAATGTTTGAACCTTGGAAAGAATTTCTTAAAAACAAAGCA